GAGAGAGAGAGAGAGAGAGAGAGAGAGAGAGAGAGAGAGAGAGAGAGAGAGAGAGAGAGAGAGAGAGAGAGAGAGAGAGAGAGAGAGGGTTGTGTTGGAAAAGGAGAATACGACAGGGGGAGAACTACTACTTCCGTTATCCATCAATGGGTGAGATGAGGAGGAGGGCGGGGTAGGAATAAGACGTTGCTGACGGCAGGACAGGAACGAGCGGGATGGGAAAAGGCGTAATGGGCTACGGTGGCTTCATTTGCCTCTCTCGATTAATTCGGGTTTTCTCTTTCTTTTTCGCTTCACCATATTCCTTCCTCCCTATTTTGCTCTTCAATGCCTTCCTCCTCCACGTGTTTCTTCTGTTGTCCTCCTTCTTGTCCTCCTTCATGTCCTCCTTCATGTCCTCCTTCTCTCCGCTTCGCCCTCCTCCACGTCAGCCTCTGCATATGTCCAACTCCACGTGGAAGCCGTGGAGGTCTGTATCCTCTTTTACCTCCTTGGGTGCATCGGAAAGGAAGGAAATGGAGAAACGAAGGGGAGGGGAAGGAGAGATTAGATGGTTCAAAGATAAAATGGGTGGACTAAGGGGGGGAGGAGAAGGAGGGGGGGGGAGAAAGGGGGGGGGGAGGAGAGATTAGATTACGATAATGATGGCGAGAGGGGTGTTGGAAGATTAGGATGCTGATGTGACGAAGTTGGGGGAGAAAAGGGGGAGGACGAGGCTGTGGTGATGTCGTTTATCTTTCTTTTTGTTGATGCCCCATTTTGTTTTGTGTTTGTTTGCCATGGTCCATCCTCCGCATCTTTCTCCTCCTCCTCCCATGTCCTTTTTCTCTATGCCATCCTTATCCACCTCAGCTCCTCCACATCATCCTTCTCCTCCTCTTGATCCTTCTGCCTGGGATCCCAATATAGCTCAGCCTCCGGGAGAGTGCGGGAAAGGCCATCATCGTACTTGCACAGGGGTTAGGAAGACTGCAAGGGTTTTCATGTTTTCGTTCCTACTCCATTTCTTTTTCTTAATGTGATGTGATCCTTCTCCTCGGCATTGTCCTTCTCACCAGCCTCGGGAGAGTGCATGAAAGACCTCATCACACTTACACTGAGGCCAGAAAAGCTACAAGGGTTTCCATGTTTTCGTCGTCGTCCTCCACGTTCACCTCCCGCTGCAGGTTTTGCTTCCCGGCGGTACAGGCGCACACACACACACACACGATACAGAGACACATAGACACAGAGAGAGAGAGAGAGAGAGAGAGAGAGAGAGAGAGAGAGAGAGAGAGAGAGAGAGAGAGAGAGAGAGAGAGAGAGAGAG